ACCTGGGCCGCCCCGCCCCGCCCCCCCCCCCCCCCGCCCCCCCCCTCCCCCCCCCCCCCGCCCCCCCCCCCCCCCCCTGCCCCCCCCCCCCCCCCCCCCCCCCCCAGGCCACCTACTACGACGACATCCCCGAGGAGACTGCTGAGCAGGCGGGCGCCGCCACCGGCTTTGTCTTCCTCATCTGCCTGCTGGCCAACACCATGGCCATGCTGCTGGCCTGGTTCTTCATCTTCGACACCATACAGAAGGAGAAGGACATACTGGAGCAGGTGGGTGGGTGGGTGGGTGGGGTTGCTGTGAGCCAGCGGGGCAGCGCAGCGCAGCGCAGGGCAGGGCAGGGCAGGGCAGGGCAGCGCAGGGGCAGCGCAGGCTCCCCCTGCCCAGCATGTGGGCCTTCTGGAGCCCCCACCCGCCCCAGCCTCGCCCGCGCCCGCAGGGCCACCCAGACGTGTCGGCGCTGCCCCAGCCCGGCGCCCCCAGCCTGCCCGCGTCGGCGCCTGGCGGGCGCGAGGACCCCGGGGTGGGCCACCCGCTGGGCGGCGGCAACGCGGTGCTGCTGGACGACGCGGGCGGCAACGCCAGCCACCTCTATGTCGACGTCGTGGGTGGGTGGCGCCGCCGGTGCGGGGCGGTGCGGGGCCGCGCAACTGGCCTGGGCACGGCAGATCAACCAACGATTGCGAGGTCGGGCGCACGCCTTGCCCCCCATCCCTGTTTTCCCATCTCCCCTCCTCCCATGTCCCATATGTGATGGACATATGCATGACCCCTCCCAGCCCTGCCCTCCCCTGCCCTGCCTGCCCCCCCACCTCTTGCGCACCGCAGAGGCGGACCTGGATGCGCCCAAGACCTTCCAGGACAAAGTGGACGACAGGGAGAAGCTGCGCCTCGTGAGTGGCGGCATGGTAGCACGCCTGGAGTCGTGTTGCAATCACGTTGTTTTGGGAGCGCGCCGCGTTTGCACGCGTGCCGCCCCGGCCTTGGGCATGGTCGGCGCAGAGCTGGCGGCGGCCTGACGCGGCTGCCGCACCCTTCTGTTCCTGCAGATCCGCCGCTTCTTCTACGGAGTCTGCTTCTACCGTGAGCTGCTGCGGCGGCGGCAGACTGGGGGGTGCACTGCTATGTTGGGGCCGTGCTGCTGCCCCGTCTCCCTGCCAGCCAGCCAGCAGCACATCCTGAACCCCTCTCCCCGACCTCCCGTGCCCGCCCTGACGCCCCCTCCCCTTGCCACCCCACCCCCGTCCCCCTGCAGTCATCTCCACCATCCTCGTCATCTTCCTGCCCCTGTTTGTGCCCACCGTGGTGGACCGCACCATCCTGGCGCTGCAGAGCCTGGTGCTGTGGGTGTTCCTGGGGGTGCTCCTGTGGACCTTCCGTATGCGCCAGGGCAGCCCCTACCTCATGATGGACGAGGCGGCGGCGGATGCGGAGACAGGGGGCCTGGTGGAGGGCCCCACCACAGAGCTGGGCGTGCTGTCGCGGGACGACGGCGACGACAGCGGCGGCGGCGGCGGCGGCGGCGGCGGCGGCCAGCGCAGCCGCCTGCGCCTGGATGCTGCTCGCTTCACTCTCGACGAGGAGGAGGAGGGCGGCGGCGGCGGCGGCGGCAGCGGCGGCGGCGGCCTGGCCCGGCCCCAGCCCTCCATCAACGTGCACGCGGCGGAGCAGGGGGTGGTGGTGGAGGCGCTGCCCACGCCGCAGACGCCCGCGCCCATCGCCCTGTCGCCGCCGCCGCGGTGACGGGCCGTCAGCGGCGGGCGCCCCCGCCCCTCCAGTGCCGCCTCTCTCTTTCCCTCTCCTCCCCTTGCTTGAATGCTGCTTGTCAGCCCGCTCCAGTTGCTACGCTGTGCATCCCATGCGGCCCCTCCACATGGCCGCCTCGCTGGTTGCCCCCAATGCGGCCCCACACATGGCCACACATCAGCAGGGCCCTTTCTGGCGGTTCCCTTGCATGACTCATTCAACTGTAAGCATGATTCATTCAACTGTGACTCCACTGTACTGGGTCCCAGCCCAACAGCAGCAGGGGGTGCCACCAGCAGAGGGTGGGTGTGGCGGGCGGCCCAAGGTGCAGCCACCTCGCTAGTCGCCCTCCTCGTCGCTGCTGACGCCGTGCGGCGAGGCGGCCACGCTGTCGCCGCCGCCGTCGCCGCTGTCCAGCCGCTGCAGGCTGCTGCCGCCGGCGCCGCCGTCCACTCTGTCAAACCTGCAGCAGGAGGCAGGCAGGTGGCATCGGCGTGGGGGCTGGCATCGAGGCACCCGGGCGCTGTGCTCTGGTCATCCCTAAAAACACCTGAACCTGCCCAGACCAGCCCAGGCCAGGCCAGCCGTGCTGCAGGCGCCTCTCACCGCGTGAGGCTGCCGTCCTCGTGGCAGGCCACCACAATGGATCCGTCGTACGACACCGCCGTCTGGCGCACCAGCGGGGCGCGCTCGCCCTTGGCGGCGCACCGCCGCGGCTTGAGCCGCGCCCTGGGCTGCGGCTGCAAGGCAGGGAGGGGAGGGGCGGGCAGACCCGGCATGGCGGGGTGAGGTCAGGGTGCATTCACGGTGCTTGAGGAGGGCAGGGATGGGCGCGGGCAGGCGCGCGGCTGGGAGCGGCGCGGGCAGGCCGCCTTCAAGCGTGCGAGCGGGGCTGCTGCGGTGCCGCCGCTTCCCACCCGCCCCGCCCACCTGCTGCGCGTGCGGGTCGAAGAGCAGCACCTTGCCGGTGCTGGTGCCGCAGGCCAGCACCGTGCACCAGTAGTCGAGGGCGAAGCGCAGCCACCACACGTTGGCGCACTCCTCCAGCTGCAGCTCCTGCAGGGCGGGCGGCAGGTGGCAGCAGGGTGGTGGCGGTGGGGTGCGTGGAATGGGGTGGGGTGGGGTGCGTGGGATGATGAGGCGGTGGTGGGAAGGGCAGGGGGCAGGCGGCCACGCAGCGGGCCTCGAGCACAGCCACGGCGCCACTTCCGCAGGCAGGGCTGCTAGCGCCCCGGCACCGCCAACCCGCGCGCCTGTACCAGCTGCACGTCGCCGTCCTGCTCGTGCTGGCGCGTGGTCCTGTCTGGCCTCCAGCCCAGGACGCAGTTGTCAACAGACTTGGACAGCACAAAGTCGCCCAGCCAGCGCACGCAGTCCACATAGTTCCAGTGCACGCGCTGCAGGGGTGGTGTGGTGGGGGTGGTGTGGT